AGCTGCAGGTACAAAGCACGTCTCTGATTCTTCAGCTGGGAAGCAAACATCCTTCAACTTCTCCCACCATGCAGATCCTGCAGCCACAGCTTAAGGTTTGTCTGAGGCTGCCTAGAAGGTTTCTTAGCTTGGCTGCCCCATCCAGGGTGCTGGATTGAGGTGACATGGTGGCAGTTTGGATCACAGATGCCTGTCTCCTAGGCAGAATTATCCCATGCTCTGGGATAATTTGGATTGCAGCAGAGATTTCAAAAGACTGGAACAAAAGGCAAAGCTGCAAAACGAACTAAAATCTCCAGTTTGTGTCTGGGGATGGGGACAACAGGTCTGGAATAACCAGGAACAGTGCAAGTGATAACCGATGTGCATTAAAACAGCTGTGAGGATGATGACTGTAAGCACAAACTAGGTGGGTTTTCTTGTTGGTCTTGTTTTGGGGCAGTTTGGGGGGTTTTAGTTATTTGAACATATCTTTCAAAACAGATTTTGGCCCCTCCTCAAACTTCTTTTGCTTCACGTTATAGCTCGCCCTTCCCTCCTGTTCTGTTTCCTCCATGCATGCATAGGCTGTGTTCTCATTCTGGGAGTTTGGGCCCTTCCTTTTGCTCTGTGGCTAGAATGCTCCAGAACAAATGTGGATGTCTCCACTTTGGCTGGCTAAAGACGTAGATGTTCCTATGCTGCAACTCCTCTTGTCCTAAAGCAGGCATTTAAATAGGTCAGGTTAAGAGAGTCCTAGAAATACCATGTTTATTCCCCCTACTTAGAAAGGGAGCAGAGGGTGAGAGATCAGCTGGAGATATTTCTGCTTAGGTGAGATGTCTGTGCACTCCAACTTTCCTGTTTTGTCATCTCTCCATGTGCATTTCAGTGCTGCCCCAGTCCAGGTCCCCCTTAAGCAATAATTCACTCCCTCCTTCTTGTTCTGTCCATTGCAAGTGCACACAGGGGACTCTGATCTCGCAGGGGGACATTTCACTGTGCTGCCGCGTTCACAAGGGAGGCAGCTGTGGAGAGGTGGAAATTTGGCCACTCAGGATGAAATGCTTTTGTTCCTCAACCTTTTCACACCTATTCCAACAAAGTGCAAAGTGAATGTTAAATGTCAAAGCCTGTGCAGTCCTGTCTGTATAACTGTATCTGTCCACTACAAACCAATGGATGCAAGAGCCCAGAGTTCAAGGAAGGGGGAAATCAAGACTAGTGTTGGGTAAAAAGCAATGTCAGAAATATCCTGTCTGATGTATGGAATCCCCAGGATAGAGATCTACTCATCTCCCCAGGGATACATTGCCCTCCTTTGCTGAAACACTGAAAACTAGGCTGGAGAAAACCCCAGAGAACACACTGCAGAAATAGCCTGTATCAAACAACCTGGTGACGACTCAGTGTCACAGAAACTGTCTCACCTCTCCTGCTGAATCAGAACCTGGCCCTGATGTCAGTAGGGTTTAGCTACATCGCTCCCATCACACAGAGAGAATCCTCTTTTCACTGCTGTGGTTTAGGGTTGCCACAGCTTGAACTTTATTTATTGTGCTGAATTTTTTATGCTTTGTGATATTACTTCTTGGTGAAGTTCATTACTGTACAATAACACCAGGCTGCTTTCTTTTCCCTCATCTCAAAGATCAATGAAATGTTGTTAAAGCTGCTAGGGAATATGACATAGCTTAGCAGGGTGTAGCAGCACACAGAGTATTTCCTCTTACTGCTTCCACACCACGCAAGGAGTAAAGAGGGAGAGTGGCTGGCTGAATTTTCTGTGATAATTCCTATTCAGAAAGGTTTGTATGTATCTTCTTTATATCCAGGACATCGCCAGCCATGAAAATTTGCTCTAGTTTGCCATGTATCCAGCATCTGGTTTGTATTCCTCTCTGTTGACTTGAATATGTAATGAAGTGACTTTAAATCCTTTCTGCTGCTCCGTGACCTCAGGGTCAGCCCAGGCTATTTCAGCCGCGCCATGGCAGAAATCAGTGCAGTCCCTGGGCTGTTTCAAGCAGAATTATCTGCTTGCCACTAACTGGTCCCCAGAGAGGAGCAATGCAGGCAGCAAGGGTCCCTCTGCCAGCCAGGGATGTCTAGGCGCCACAGGCACTGACTGGAATTAGATTTGCCACTGTGGTGAGCCAACAGGGAAGAGAAAATTGTGTTCCAGCCTGCCTGATTATCCTAAGAGCAGGAATGGCACGGGAAACATCAAGAGCATGAACCCTATGTTACTAAGGTTGCCAGCTCCCCTGCTTTGAGTGCAACCAGATTGCCTGCCCATCTCACTACAATAATTGTCAAGAGCCCATTGCAGGAGCCCACCCCTGCTTTCAGGTAGTGATGTAACGGGGGGGCATCTGTGTGACTTAGAGACTTGTACGTGTTGGCCAAGGCACTCAGTATCACAGCAGTTACTCAGGACCTCCCTGTGTCTATCCCTGCATTACAGGCCCTTCTGTTGTGCTGTCCTGAGGAGGCTGTGGGGCTGTGGGCTAAAATCTGTGCATATTTTCAGTAGGAAGACACCGAGTTTTAAACATAATTAAATATAATGTCAGGGCTTGTGTTCCTGAAGTTCCTTTGTTGCTCTCTCATTCATCTTGAATTTGCTCTGCATTTATGTGCAGAAGAAGGCAGAAATTCTGCCCTGCTAGCAAGATCAGAGCATTATAGCAAAGCCTGCTTTGCTGCTGGCTAACAGTAGTGTTTTGACTCAAATATATAGGTAAGATGGTCATGCCTTGGGATTCTGCTCTCAGCTTCATAATTCAATGTGTCCCCTGCTATAAATGCATTGGAGAAGAGCAGGATTAAAAGGACTCCTCTCCCTTCGCAGTGGGCTGTGGTCAAGTCAGTCAGGAAAATAACAAAACTAGGCAAGTTGGCCTGCTTTTGCCTTGCAAGGATACTTGCATCCTATTGTAATCAGTAGTCTGGTTTGTCTGGTTCATGGTTGTAGCTGTACAGGAGTCCATTCATACATCCATACAGCCACAGAAAGAGCAGCATTCTGTTTAGGTATTCAGTGTCAAGGGAAAGAAAGTCTACAAATGTTTTTGCTGACAGGGGGCTGCAGCTGTGGGAGCTCAGGTCATGGGGATGTTCCCACAGACTTATTCCTTTAGGAAAATCAACAGTCAGAGTTTGCTAGGACAACAAGTATTTGAAGGTCCAGAGGCAGAACCTTTAATGAAGATGATTCAGAGTAGGAAGTTACACACATCTTAAAGGTGATCCGTATGGAAGTGGTGCCTGGGAGCATATTTAAAAGATAGGCTAAAGAGCTGAGGGGGAGAAGGAAGCAGGAATGCATCATCTACTGGCAATGTTGGAAGGAAATACAAGTCTGCCATCTGATGGCATCGAATGGACCAGGCCAAAACGCATAAATGGTGTCAGTAATGAAAGTTTCACATCCCAGTTCGCATTCTCACTAATGCTAAACTTCGGTGTGAGGACGCTAAAACCTCACAAACTAAACATTGGCTTGTGAACATTCGTATTGTTAAGCTGACAGCATGGGCCATGGCGTGATTTTGAATACATCAACTAGCTTTGCTCCAGACACTGCCACCCTGTTCTGGAGAGTAAGAGGGTTTAGCCATATGGACGTGAGCTGTGTAGTGCCAGCTGGCCTTGGGGCCAAGAGAGCAGTCCCTGGCCCATTTCATTTGCTGGTATAACATAATCTGATAGCTCATCAGAGACACCAGGAACTGTCCAGGGACCCACAGTCCTTTCTGAATGACCTCTGGAGATACAGCGATGCTATGGAAGTATGGTGAATGCCAGCATTGAGGTATGTGGCATAGCAATCTTGTGGTCTGTCCCACACCACCCAGCCCTTCAGCACTTGTTTCTTTTCCCTCTTCTTTAGCCCAAGTCTGGAGTGATGCTGCTTGTTCGGCCTCTCTGCGGTCAGTCCCACTCCTACAGTGTGTGCAGGAGGGGGATGTCAGTGAAAAATGGGGGGAGATGGCAATGGAGCAGATCAGCCACTACTGTGCACTAAGACCCTTGTGCATTATTTGACCTTAAAACCCTGCAGCCCTGGGTGAATCATCACCTTCTGTAAAAAGCAATCCAAAGGATGCATAGGCCAGTGTACCCTGACCTAAAGATGATGATTGCTGGTCAGCAGGAACTCAAAGACAAATCCATCCTGCTGCAATTCAGGGAACACGGTGTCTCAGGCTGGATAAACCCAGCAGTAAGATCACTCCAGTGTAAGGGCTGCTCCTTTCATTTGCCTTGGATTTGCCTTGCCTCCGGTTCTGATCCTCTGTCTGACTCATTGTTGTGGGATTGTTCCTAGCATTCATTTTAAACCCTCATGTAAACAGTGTGCCAAAACAAGGTGTCTGATAGACAGACCCAACCTCCAGTTATTACATTCATTACTTCCCCTTCCTTCAGAAGGAGAGCCCAGAAAACTGGAGAGACGTGACAACATCCCATATGAAGGCTCCCGTTATTGAAGGCTAGAGATATTTCTCTAGATGTCTGTTCAGTGTAAGAGAAGTCCAAGTTACAGGTTATAACATTTTCCCTTTGGGTCTTGAAAGCTTCACGTGTGTGCAGAGCTTTCGCTTTAATTCTTGGCTGGGAGGATCTGTCGTGGTAATTCAAGGCAACAATTCAACAGAGGCTGGCTCAGTCAGTGGGTGCAGTAACAAGGTGTATGACCTAGCTGGTTAGCCAAGAGCCTCATCAGTGCACCAGTTGAAATGAGTGGTGGTTGCTTGCCACATCAGCAGCGAGCTAGGTACTTACACACGCTTTCTGATGGGGCTGGAGGGGTTTTATGGGAGCCACACACTCGCCTGCTGGGCTGAACCCTGGCATGTTCCTTTGTGCAGCAGGAATGCCAGGGACTTCGAGACATGGGTAACTGGGGAGAGGCAAGCCTGAAGCCATGCAGTCCATCATGCAATGGCTGTGTGCGCATGCAGGATGCTCTAGATCACAGCTGACTAACCCTGGACCATCTCTTTCCCCACTAGATGCTGTAGAAGAAACCAAACCTACTGAAAGTGCCCAGCAGGAAGAGGTGAAAGAAGAAGAGAGCAAGGCGGACCAAGAAAATGCCTGAACATTAAGAAATGACTCCCCATTGCCCCTCCCTCCCTCCCCCTATCCTCTATCCTTCCTTCCCACCCCAATCTCAATCTTCCCCCCTTCCCGCTCACATCCGTGAGCCTGTCCATCCCTTTCCCATTCCCACTGAAAACCCTTTTTCTCTCTGTGTGGCAAACATTTAAAGAAAAAAAGAGAAAAAAGAAAAAAAAGAAAAAAAAAGAAAAAAAAAAGGCAGGAAAAATCCCAGTCAAACAGTGTGGCTTAAACATTTCTTTGTTCCTTGGTGTTGTTATGGCGAGTTTTTTGGTAATGATGATCCAATCATTTTGGGAAAATTCTTGCACTGTATCAGAGTTCCTTGACCTGGCGCGTGCGTGTGTCTGTCTGCCCACCGCGAGCGCTCCCTCTCTTTCTCTCTTTCCTCTCCTTCTCCCTCTCTTCTCCAAGTATGTGTGCGTGTGTGTGCAATGTTCCGTTCATCCGAGGAGTCCAGACTTTACCGAGTGAGTTAAAACAAAAGAGGGGGGAAAAAAAAGAAAAACCAAGAATAAAAAAATCCTTTTCTTCCTTTTTCAATGCGATGGAATGAACGAAAAAGACCAAATCCAACCAACCAAATCATACTAAAACCCCAGTCTGTTTTCAGAACTAGAACAACAACAAAATAAGCAATGTGCCAACTAGCATAATGCTTGGCTCCAGGCTCCTTTTTCAAACTGAACAATAATGATAATAAATGAGAATAATGAGAATTAACACCACCGTGTCGCATTTCTATGCTGCCGTACGCCCTGCTGGCCTCTGCAGGCTTTGGTGGGCCACTTCTGCGTGGCCCCACTGTGCTCCTTGGCCACTGGTCAGTGACCAACCGCTCTCCCTTGGCACTACTGAAGGGAATTTTAAGGGAAGCGGGCTTGGATTTGGAGTGAGGCCTTAGCATCAACTGATACAATAATGAAAGTAGCAAAATCAGTTTTAGGAAGGAACTAAATAAGCAGCCTTCTAGGAGACCTCTAAGCCCTGATTTGGAGAACCATGGCGACCTTGGAGTGATGAGCCAGCAGAGGGACCGGCTTTGGTCCATGCTGAAGGTCCAACCCCTGCCAAAAGGTGCACTATGGGCCATGAGGGGATAGGGACCTGAGGCAGATAAGCTGATGCTCATCCCATTTGGCTAAAGTTGAATAGCATAGCATGGCCCTCCAAAAGTGTTCTGTTTGGCATAATAAATTGGGCCAATGCATTGAATAAATAGCCAGTAGTGGGCAGGACAAGGTCTGGTAGGTAAGACCCAGTCAATGGCACTTTGAGAAATACCTCATTCCTGCTCCCTGGAGAAAGCTGGGATGGTTCACCCAGAGGCCATGGCTCTTAGCTGTCATTCGTGGCCTTCCTCTGTAGCCAGCTAAAAGCATGGTGCAGGCAGAGCACCACTACTACTTTCCATGGGGTGCAGGATGTTCCCTGGTGCATGCCAAGTGGACACCCATTAGCCCCAGACGGTCCTGATGCAGGACTGACAGCCATTGGAGTCTGCTGCTCTGTTTATGAGCTGCCAGGGTGAACACTTAAAATGTATTCAATAATAACTGGGCTTTTATGAAAGCTTTTTGCTCTTTCACTGCCCAGATTATTACCCTGTGCTTTCCCACCATGGTTTCCTGGCCGCACCAGCAAGGATTGCCATACAACGCTGCAGGGCCACCACTAAACTGGCCTCACAGCAGTAACACCAAAAAGATGGGTCTGCTGACAGCCCCAACATCCCTTGGTGGCTGATGCTTGGAGTGGCAGCCCTGTGGCCTTCAGAGGACTGGTTGCCTTTCCCTGCACTACTTGTTTGTTCTCCTCCATCTCTTTGTTGGAAATAGGGAGAAAAGATGAACAGTGTCTCCTCAGAGATGATCAGTTTGAACATAGACTGCTCACTGGAAGTGCTATCAAAATGCATCAGGATTCGTTTCCATGTTCTTCCTGGTGTAGGAAGAAGAGAGAGGGAGAGAGGGAGGACTTTTAAAAAGAGAGGGAAAGAGAGAGTGGGAGAGAGATTGGACAGAGATTTTTAAAAACAGGGATTACAGAGAGGAGGGGGGGAAGATTTTCGAGTGGATAGATGGATGATAGGGAGAGAGAGGGGAGTATAGCTAGAGTAAGAAAGATTAGAGTGAAAAAGATGAGAGAGAGACAGGAAGAAATTAGCTAATATGGAGCAATAGATGATTGATAGAGATAGTGAAACATAGCTAGCTAAAGTAGATTAGACAGACTAAATAGGTAGAAAGATGGGCTGACTGACAGATAGGTATTGTGTCATACTTCATAAACAATATATATGCTAATATTCCCATGTCATGACGGGTGGTAAACCCTGAGACACCTTCCAGCCTGACCTCAATTCAGCAAATGTAGCGCGGACATCAGGCACTGCTTGGACCGTATGTCAGGTCTCACCCCTCTGCCTGCTTCTGCTGCGGATGTGGCAGGGGGGTGGATGGTGTTTGGGGAGGGAGAGCGCTCTGATGGACACGGGGGATGAGGTGTAGGGAGGAGAGGTGTAGAGTATGTTTGCTGTTCGTAGCACACAAGGTGCCCAAGCCCAGCTCGGTCGCTGCAGGCACCTCGTGTCTCTAGCGCTGAGTGGAAAGAACTAAAAAGTTCAGCTCTCAGCATCTGTGGGAGAGGTGTTTGGGAGGAGGCAGGAAGGAGGGAGCATGGTTTTTGTTTGGCCTCATCTCCAGTCATGACCATTCACAAGAGTTTTCTTATAAGGGCTGTCTTGCCTGATTCTGCACAGACCGCGTGGTCTCCCCGCTCTTCTCACTTCAGACCCAGAGCTTCTCATCTTCCCTCCACTTTACTAGTTCTAGCTTTATAAGGAATACAAAACTGCCTCTCATGTCTCCTGGACATAGGCCTTCCTCCCTCCTCATAAACCAGAAACGTTTGTCTCTCCCCAGGGATGTTTTACCTTTGTATTTCCCATGTTGCCTCCCCTTGGCTGACGGTTAGGGCATCGCGCGTGTTTTGTCACCGTTCGTAACAACATACTTTGCCGCGTTGCTTAGAGAACAAAGGGTTGGGGTTTGTGTTTTGGTCTTCCCCCCCCCCCCCCCCCCAAAGAGAACCGGGTACGTGGTGACCAGCTGCAAACCTAAGTAATCTAAATACTGATTCCTCTCCCTTGGTTCTAGTTTAATATTACTAGCTGTAACCAGGCACCTCCCTGTCTTTCTTATTGTGCCATGTCCTGATCCGGCCAGAGAGTCAGGGCAAAGAGAGCGTGAGAGAGAGCACACAGGCAAACCCTGCCTAGAGCAGGCACTGGTTTCAAGTGTAATACACAAGATTTGTGTAGGAAGCTGGGCTGTCTTCAGGGTACAGGAAGGGAGCAGAGAAAAGCATTTGGATTTCCTTGAGTTGCCTCTTCAGCCAGGTTTTAAAAGGCTAAAAGGAAACAGTCTAAAGGATGTAGCATGGGACAGAAACTGGAAGGAGAACAGGGGTATTTGAGGAACGATTTTTCTAGCAGGATATCAAGTGAGCTGAGAGCAGCACAAGAGGCAGGAGGTCCCAGAAGTAAGGAGTGGAGCAAAGAGTACCCAGCAGGGTAGCTGGAGCTCCTGATGCAACAACCAGCATGAATTCCCCAGGGAGTATAGATCTAATCCTCTCTCCCTGAAGGGGATAGCTTTGCTTTGTAGTTGTTATTTTATATCTGGAGAGGGAAGGGCATATCAGAATGGCTCACGCTGGGAATATGGTGCCTGACCTCATGTACAGTGCTGTGGAAATTCAGAGTCCAAGGGGGTGTTTTTCCATGCCCCTGTACTAAGATATGTTTGTGATCCACATCTAACCTGAATGCTCATACCAGCTGTAGGCCAGCTCTTGACATTTCATCTCATCTAGACTAAGCCTTGGAAAAGTGCAAAAAAACCCAACCTAACAACACCCCCCATCAATGCAGTAGATCGTTTGCATGGATTCAGTCTGCTTTGCAATTCTTGTGGCATCCCCAGACTCTGCATTGGTAGCAAACTCACAACCCTTGTGACAGTTGCATCAGCCAGGATGCTCCACCGTGAGCCACATTCCAAAGGGAGGGGAAGGGCATCCTGCTGAGATCCCTTCAGACCCAGTGTTTTCCAGCCCCAACCCCTAATGCAGCCCTGTGAGAAGCCTTAGCAAGACGGAGCTCACCTATGGTGACAACGTAAACACTGTCACTTTGGGAATATGTTAGTCTAAAGGAAAGAAATGGCCAGGACTGGAGGAGAAGGGTTTAGGAAGACAGGAAAGAAGATAAAACAGAAAGAGGGAGTTCATTCCAAGCTCCCCATGGGAGTGATTTCTGGCTTTTCTGAGGTCTCTGAATGGCAAAGTAGCGCGTGAGGCTTTCTGTACTGAAGGTCTGGTGTTTGGCATAGGTGTCTTAGGAAGCAAACAGCGCGGCTGTGGTTTGCAGAGGTGGAGGGAAGGGTCTTGAATGAATGTTGTTGTGGCCCCTCTTGGCTAAGATGCCCTCTTGGTGGTCATGTGCAGCTCAGTGATGAGGGGGTTGGTGTGGTGGGTCCTCTTCCAGGCCTGTGCTCAGATTCCCTCTTTTCTGCATTGCCACATTAGCACTTTCACTGGATATTTAGAGCACCTCAGGACTGGTTCTCCTCTCGCTCACACCGGGGTAACTCAGGAGTCGCTCCACTGGAACCAGTGGTGTTAATCTGGTGTGAAACGAAGGCGAGAGGAGGATTCAACTCCTCGCGGGGGGATTTTCCAGGTCCCCGAGGGGGAAAGCAAAATCAATGGGAGTTACATGTCTAACTGCCACTTGTGCCTGTGAAAGTCTGCCCCTTATCTACCTATATGTATATAGGGTACAGTTTTCAGGATAACCTAAGTGACATGGGCACATGAGAACACACACGGCTTTCAAAGGGACATAAGCTCCTAAGGCCCAAATGCTGAAGGATGCCCAGACTCCTCTCTGCAGCCAATTTGGGGGTCTCAGGACAAAATGGGACTGAAGACCATGTGTCATTTAGGTGGTCCTGAAAGCGCTACCCTCTATCCATTCTTCAGGGTGTTGATCTCAGGTCATGTGCGAGCCTGCATTCTTACCTACAATGCTTTATTACTACATTCCTCTGTTGAGCAATACTTGGAAGAAGAGGTGAAGGTCAAGATTTGCAGAACAGGCTATAGTGACCCCAGTGGCTCACATCTGGAGTGCCCAACTTAAGAGACACCTCGCTGGGGCCCAATCCATAGGTCCTCTCTATACTCTGAACATCCAGATTCATGTAATACACACCCAGAACCACTGGTCACTTCCAAAGTAAGATCACAGCCTGAGACTTAGACTACTCTCACTAAAGAAAATCCTAGGTGAACCGTTCATCCAATAGCTTGTTTTTTCTGCTCATGCCTGTTCCCAATGAATGAAACGCATCCCTGTGCATCACCTAAGCCCTATTTTGAGGAGTTACGCTGGCATACAGCTGAAGTAACACAGTAGTAAATTGGGGCCTGAAGAAGGTGGCTACAGCCTAGAGAGTATCAAGAACTGTGACGTGTCTGGAAGCTAAATAAGAGCAGAACTTGACGATTAGAGCGGCCCATTTCCGATGCTCTTGTGTGAGGATCTGGAAAGAGTCTCTCACTCATTGTACTTGTGCATTATGAATGTGTCCATCTGCAGAGATCTAATGTACACATATGTCCTGAATATTGTCCTAAGGTTGCAAGCTTCAAAAATGAGCAGAAAACATTCCCGAGAAGTGAGAATAATACAGATGTCTGTATCTGAAAAATTGGTTCAAATAAAGTCTCTCACTTATAGATACGTGTAGTTGTGTGCAGTTATTTGTTCCTGGAAGGGAAGTATTGTATTTCAGTTCTTTTAGGACATAACCTCATTCACTTCTCCCTTGACCTTCTCATTCAAGTCCTATTACTGCGGGAAGAAACACTTTCCACTTATAAGTCCCGTTACTGTAGAAAGAAATACTTTTTACTTCTTCTGTCTGGGTGAAAAGCTCTGTTAGAATGAAAAGGTGAAGTAAAACACCTCATATGCTTTTACTGTTGTTAAATATCCATTGAGGTAGAAGGCACAGGCCCGATGTGGTCTCCCCATGCAAAAGTGCTTGGCATTTATAAGTAACAGACCGATACTCTTGACCCAGGCAAGACTGAACAGAGGAAAGCTGTACTTTGGCACCGTGTATCTGCTAAATGTCCACAGCAAAATGCTGGGATATTCCAGGGAAGGGAATCTGCTTGGGTGTAGAAATGGTGAGTGGGTCCTCATTCAGCGAAGCACTCAGCTTGTTTAAGGAAGAACACCTTGTGCAAGTGTATTTAAAGGTATCCCATTCCTCATTGGATTTAAAGCTTCAGTAGTTCACTGGGGCACTCCAGGAATATTTGAGATAGGAATATATATTTCAGCACCTAAGAAATCCCACCATTTGCCCTCAGTATCAACTTGGTGCCGACTGTAATGAAATACAGAGCAGCAATCGCTGCCCAAGCCGTGCTAGGCTGCTGACTTAACGCTGTGCTGTATCTATGAGCAGCTCGAGAGCTGCGCTGAAATCAAGCCATTTTATCACATCTATTCATCCCAGGAAGCTTTGCAACCACTATTTAGCAATCACTTGCCACTCATTGCTGAAATACAGCAGCTGGCTTAGCAAGGGCCCAGGAAAATTCCTGATGAGGCTCCAAGGAGCTGCTTGGGAAACAGAGCAGACCCCGGCACCTCGCATGGGCTGTGGACAAAGTGCCAATTTACAAATGAAAACGGCACAATTAGATGCCTGTATCCTTGCCTGTAATCATCCGTTGCCCCGTGCGCTCCTCCAGAAGAGGCGTGGGCTCCAGCTTGTGTGCAAACAAGTAGTTAGCATTCAAAAACCAAGTGGTTTCAATTAGCCACGTTGTTAGATTGCAGGGCTCGAGCCCTGGCAGGCTGGCTCTGCTTCAGTGGGGCAGAGCACCTGTAAAGGGACCAGCCTCCTTGTAAATGGCTGTGTTGGGGTAGAAAGGCTGCCTTGCACTCTTATCTCCTATGCAGAAGAGGGGAGCCAGGAGGCTGAATGCTTGTCCCATGGCATGCTGAAACACCCAGCCCAATGTAAATCTCTGCCAAGGCTTTCTAAGCAGGCACAAAACCAAGCTCCCAGTGCATGATTCCCAGTGCCATGCTCTTGCCACTGGGAATACACTGAGTCGTACAGAATGACCCGTGGCTCACGCTGGGTGTCTGCCCCATCGTCGCCTCTCTGCCCACATGGACTCCCTTCACATCGCTGCTCGCGCTCATGGGATGCACTGACAGCCTTTCCCTAGTGAGTGATGTGCTTCTGATTCCTATGGTGGTCCATTGGCTTAGTGACACTGTGCTGCGGGAGACCCCCTGTCCTTGGGGAGAACACAACGGGAACTTCAGGTTTTCCTGGTTTTTGACAGCAGATTTGCCACCTTCACTGCTCTGCTGGGTCGCTGGAAAAAGACCCGTGTTCCTTATACTCTCACTGAACTTTCTAAGCCTGCTATCCTTTATCCAGCATGAAGCACCCTGTAATAGGCCCTGACAGTCTCCTAATCTCCTGCACTTTGCCCTGTCTTACTGTATGCAGAGCTGGCATCCAGTCTGACAGGGGCTGCTGCCCTCTGAAGATGAGCAAGCAAAGGAAATTACACACTTACTTCTGTCCCTAAGATCCCTTTTGTTCATGAAAAATGAAATGATTTTTTTCCATTTAGGGCCACTTTTGTTTATTAAAGAGGAAATAGATTTCATTTTGCTCATCATGGAATGGTGAACATGAGTAGTAAGGGAGGCAAAGAAGTAAAAGCCCATTTGTCTCAGAGGAGCACTGCTGGCTGTAGTTAAGAGGTAGTGGCTTGTACAAGCCTGCAGAAACAGGCTTGGGGTACCTCAGCCTTGGTACATGCACCAGCCTACAACCCAAACTACAAGCTGGGTACAGGTAGAAAGGCGCTGCTTTGTGCTTAATTTAATTATGGCAGCTGATTAAGCAAGTTATCAGTAAATGTAATTAGCACTTTGGGAGCAATGGGAGGATGCTGAATCAAGATGATCTGTGGTGGGGGCAAGAAGAATGGTACAGATCATCACTGGCTGGATAACAAGGATGGGTTAATGGGGGTGAACTGAAAACTGCTGGTGAATTCTCTACTGAGCCCATGATTATCAGGTTTTTGTCTTGAGAAGGGTTGTGTGGTCATCCTCAGGACCCAGGGAGGGAAAACCAGTTTCTCTCATTAAAGAAAAGGTCTAATGGAGAAGGTTCAATTTCCTCCCTCTCTCGGTGTGCCCATTCTTGGCCATTTATCAACCCACAGTCAGTCAGCCTGTGCTTTAAGTTTCAGTGAGCCCCATTCAACTCCTGCCTACGCAGTAGCTCCTGTTTAAGCTCAGGGATGAATTTAGTGCAGGTGCTCTGGGGCAGAGTCTTCTTCCTTGTGTTTGCCCAGGGTCTGAGGCTTTCCTTCTGGGCTCTCTTTCATTCTGAGACAGACCTGAGTGACTTAAGAACAACACGGTCAAAGCTAAGAAGCTGCCAGATTTAATGGTGGCCTAAGTGGGTGCTGGTGTCTCACAGGGGAGACTCTGATGGCTTTGGATGTGGAAACCATGGAGAAGAAATCCATGAGGAGCAGCCTTGTGTGAGATGATACAGAAACCACTTATAGAAAAGAAGACAATTACTGATAGAACACCAGCACCCAGCGAAGGGTTGAGCATCGGCACTTCGGCTTCCTGACCAAAAGAAAAGCAAAGAGACAGGAGACCTAAGCCATGGGTTGCCACCCTCAGCATCCTCTCCATGCAGACAGCGCCAGACACCCCACAGAGCATGTTTAGGGCTGGAAGTGTGATGCAGGGTGCATAGGGACCTCGCACACTGACTGGTCCCTAGGAAAAAGCTGCAGACGCAGCGGCATCACTGCCCTGTCTCATGGCCAAGGGGAGGGTGAGGAAGGTGCCCAGGCTGCGGTGGAGGCTGACTGGGACAACTGTGCCACGGGCTGCTGCCTCCCAGCCCCTCGCCAGCAGAGAGCCCATTAATAAGGCTTTCCAGCCTGTCACTTCCATGCTGAATCCTTTGAAAGCCACACTCCTCTGGGCCCATTAGAGGGAGGAACTGTCTCTGCTGAAACATATGGGGCTGTCAGGCTCTGTCTGGCTGTTGCTCTGAAAGCTGCCGCTGATGTAGCTGTTTGCTGACAGCAGGGTAAAAGCCGTCTTGAGGAGGCTGTGAAATAGGATGGGGGCTTGGGAAGGGGCTGGGAGGACATGTCGGGTGAGCTGGGAGGGATGCTGCTGAACAGCGTGCTGGTATAGGATGGGCTGCAATGGGTTAAAAGCCAGCCAAAAGGCTGCTGAGCTTAAAGAACCCTGTTCCCAGTGTGTGACAGTGGGAAGAGGTACCTCTGACGACAGCTGGAACAAGCTGAGTGGTGAATACTCTGCAGCAGCAGAAGCCAGGGCTGACAGAAGAGTTGTTTGGGCTTGTCTGGGGAAGGAGGGGATGTCAGCAGTGCTGGGTAGGCTCTATGGGGACGGTGCGAGAGGGAAAGCATCATGCGGTCGCACAGCACTGGAGCTTCTCATTAGCACACCCACCCCCCCAGCTCCATTTGCAGAGACTGAAGAGGATTTAATGGAGTCCCTTGACTTTTTCCTCTGAAATATTCATAGGTTTTAGCAGCCCATTTCATGCTCACCTCCTCCTCCATTAGAGAGCATCGAAGAGGGACTGGTGGGAAGCGCCCTGGTGGAGCCGGGGAGGCAGATAAAGGGACCTGTGGCTCTGGGGACTGACCAGCTCCTGTGCTGGTCCCTGTTCCCCTTACCAGCCCTTTAAAGCTACTGGGCAGCATGCACACGGGGGTGATGAGCATAGCGGGAAAGGAGGGAAGCCAATTAATCAGAGAGCCCTATGTGGAGCTGCTGCCCCCACCCCTGTCACACACATCCACAACACGTCTGCCTCCCTGCCCGTCTGCATCATCTGCAAGGGCAGGAGCTCTGTGTGAATCCCACAGGCTGATGAAAAATGCCTGGAGGCAATTGATTTCCTCCGTGCTTTAGCACTAATTCCCGGTGCTGGGATACAGGGACAGCCCAGAGCTTGAAAAGACCGTGCGGAAGCGTGCTGGGTTTTGGATGCCCTGTCTGCAGGACCTGACACAGCAAAGGGCCTGCCTGCAGGCGTGGGGGAAAGGTGTAATAAACAATGCCATTGCATTCTGCTGTATGAAGTGTCCCTAAAGATCAGGGCCAGGTGGGATGTCAGAGCATCATCTGCATCATCCCTACCTTGCACAGAGCAAGAGCAACTGGACTTGCGGTGCATCAAGGCAAGCCTCCCATGCTTGTGGTGCATCCTACCACCACATAAAATAGATCCTTCTCAGGTATACGTATTTCCATTTCCTTGTTTTCTCTCTCTCCTGTTTGACACTTTCTAAGCCTGTTAGGTACTAAAGCAGGCCTCTATTAGTCTAAGTTACTAATGTGTCCCCATCAAAGCCCAGAAACAAATAGCTCTGAGATTTTGGGGGTGGGCAGAGGTGCAACTCTCTGCTCCAGGTTCAAACTCTTTTGCAGCGGCCACACTCCTAAAGCTTGGAGCTTAAAGTCCTAAGCTTGTATCAAGGACTCCATGGACTACAGTAGGACCTGGATAGTGCCCTAAGAAAACAAACTGTTCCTGCGGCAGTGCTACCACAGTAAAAAGATAAGAGATGCTCAGCAAGGGGCTCCCAAGTTCACTTTGCTCCTATCTACATCGACAGAATCT